TTTACATATTTTCATAGAAGTTATATCATTATGAAAGATGATTTTTACATTGATATGACCTTTTGAACACCAGCCATAGTGAACGTTAAATAACTTCTATTCTACTGTGTTCTTGTGATTTTCTTCAAGGATGGAACTGACTTTCAAGTATTGCTTTAAGCATATTGGAAACTACTCTGTCATAATCTTACCTTTGTGTCAACCACTAATTCTTAATTCAGTTATATTGAATACAATTGTTGTTGTAACTGCAAAACAATCTCTTGCTTTTAGTTTATTATAGAGAAAACATGTAAAATACAAACTTATCGTAGTATTTGGCATTGATACTGTTGTTGTGTTAAATGTCTGCTTATCATTACTGTATTTCAAAATAATAGACAATACAATAGTCAGTGACAGTAGTAACTATTAATAAAGTCAGCATCGATATTTTTATTTTTGCTTTTCTAGAAAGAGCAAGAAAACTTTGACATAATCAGATCAACGATTAAGAACTTGTCAGTTTTATCATCTTTCAATTTTGATATTTTGAAGAAAAGATGAACTTAGAAATGAAAGATATACGTATTTATAGATAATGTAAAGTTTTGTACCTAACGTATCTCAAGAAAAAATAAGTAAATATTTGCTGACACATTTTTAAAAATGACTATACTATATCTGTCAGAGCCATTAGCAAGATTTTATGAGTGGATATTTGGTGCTTTCATCAAAGTTTGATATGCCAGTTCGTTCAATACAGAGCGTTATCAATCTATTCTATGTAATCCTTTTTGTTTAAATGTTGCTTTCAAAAAACTATCACCATATCAATACCAATTCAGCTGCATTCTCCCCCTTGCGTTAAACTCAACCTAACTAATTACTAAAAGAGTCATGGCATTTCTTTCTAATAATCATTGTGAAATTGTTTTCTCTCATCATAAAACACGGATTTTCTCACTCTATTTCCCTCTAACTTTGTTTAACTGACTAAAACTAACAACACATACGTGAAAAATATTTTTCAAAGATGTATTCATACGCTTCCATTTATATGCTTTTAATAGGGAATTTTTAGTTTCTCAATATTAGGCACTGATTGAAAAACCTTTGAGAATTCGAACTAATTATCCAACAACATGTTTTTATTTTAATAGAGGCAATTCGTAATAAAGCTCAATGAGAATCAAAAAAATCGTTAACGAAAGTTTTAATCCTTGTAATTTCGTTCGTATCGGGAACTGAAAATGATGAATAAAGACCACAACTAAAAAAAATTTGACAAACAGTTAACACTTCAATCTCATCTTCATCCGAAGCTTCATATCATTGATGATAATGATCACCAATATATAGCATTTGTTGATACTGAATTGATTGGTTGAAAACTCAATAGCTGAATCATAATATCTTCAAACAAAATATTCTCGAACATGAATTATTCTTTCTTTAACTTTTATTATAAAACAATAAAAAAACGATTAAAGAAATAGAAATATAAAAGAATTGTGGTTAAACAATTACAAAACTAAATCAATCATTTTCAATGTTAAATATTTTAATAAATGAATATCAGAATAACTTGGAATGAGGCAGAAGCTTGAAGCATATGACAAAATAACATATTTTTCTCATAGCATAAGTAGAAATTCATCAATTTTTGTCTCATTTCTGGTTTATATTGTTCGTATTTGTTTAAGCTATCAATGTTGTTCTTATAATAAAGTAATCGACAAAAAAAATTCAGAAAACGATGATGATTTAGATTGGAGTTGCCAATTATTGTTACATATGTATGTGACTCCTTCCCACAGCACATAACATCTATACTGAGGGCGATACGAACAGATATCCATAGTGACATTTCACATCCTGAAAGGTACCAGGATCGAGTTAGAATCTGCAACTCACACTATCACTTAGATTGACACCAGAGGTGGATCTGATGCTGACACTATGATTGAGAGGGTGGCCAAACTCTGAGTCTACTCTGAAGCTAAGATCCAAGTTGAGACCAGTAATCGACTGCAGCTCAGATGAAGATGAGTGCCAATCCATGAAAAACTTGAGGAAAGATGTAGGGTCGACAGAGAACTTGAGGGTGTGAATGTGGGTGTGGGTGTGAGTGTGAATGGGGTGGGGCTGTAGATATAAGTCTTCTATTCAAACGCACACCCACACCCTTTTGGTACTTACTGTATATGAAAAGAAAAAAGCTTGTTAGCGCAGCTCCTTTGGGGCCGAAATGTGGAACTCACATATCTTGTTTGGTTTCATTATACTAATGATAGAATACCCAATATTTAAAATCTCCAAAAGATAATAATACTTTTCTAAACATAATCGATTATTGGAAAATGCTCTGTTTTTATTTCTAAATTTCGAACGGAAGTTTCTTTTTGACGAGGTTGCCACGGTCTGTTATGGGAGCCTACGTTGTTAGAGTCTGTAAGGGGGGGATGTATCTATAACGTTCTCTTTCGTTGCTATGGTCTGTAGGGGGGGGGGGGGGGGGGGGGGGTGCCGGTTGTTTTTTTTTGTGGTTGGTGGGGGGTGGGGGGGGGGGGGGGGGGTCTAATATATCACTCTTATTGATACACGTGTTATTAGATAGCTACCTCTTTAGAACCGTTCGCGTCAGAGGGTTAAACTCGGCAGATAAGTAATTTATTTTATTGGTGAATAACTGTAGTTTGATAAAAAATTTATTAATATGTAAGAACGATCAAAATAATTTTTTCATATTTTTCTTTTACGCATTTTATTTTTGTTGGCGTCTTTTTTTATAACCAGTTTTTTATCATTACTACTTTATCTTATATCTTACACCTTCATATTAAAGTGTAATTTTTTTTCTATCTTTAACAAATTGAGTATATCATGGTAGGTAAATAGTTAATGAAAACAGGGTAAATCAGTTCAAATTCAATTTTTTTTGCTTTATAAATAAACTCAAAGACAAACCGAAAATTTTAACAATGTTAACTTATTATTATTGATTTCTAGGATAAACAACCAAATTCATCAAATCTTCAAGGTTTAGAAAATGATCAACCCATACCTCGTGGTGAACCTAATGAAATATTAAATTTCGATTCTAACAAACGAATTCCTACTAATGATCATGAACCAACTGGTGAAGTTATTAAAGAAAAATCAGATATATTTCGATTACAAGATGAACATTTTCGTTCATGTGTTCATGATATTCAATTAGGTAAACATCACAAAACTAATGATTCAATACAACATCAACATGAAAAATGTACATTAGAATATGATCCAATTGTGCATCCTGATTCAAAACTTGGTCGATTACACTTATCAATACGATATGATGATGAACGAAGTCAATTAATTATTAAAATAATTAATGCACAAGGGATAATAAGACCTGAACAAGTAGCTGCACGAGATATGTGTTTAACATTTTCATTAATTGGAAATGATAATAATGAGCATGATATAGAAAAACATAAACGATTTGTTAGTGAAAATGCTCCTATACAATGGAAAGAACCTGTGATATTTTGCATTACATATGAAAAAGTTATTGAAAAAAAATTATATATTTTTGCCAGTAATCATTCTGATCCATCAATACCTCGTGATCGAGAAGTGAGAAGATTATTTTGTTAGAAAATATAAATTTACTTTTTGAATTTATTTAAGGTATTAATTCTTTTAAATAATCTTAAAAATCATGCTGAAGAAATAAATCAATGGTAAGAAGAAAATTTAATATTACAAAGAAAAAAAACATGATCGTTTTCTTAGGTTTGATTTACAATATGTCAAATCAACATCATAATCCTTTGTTTTTCAGTTTTCTACGAACTTATTCTTTTTCCCTTTTTTTGATCATTGAAGATACGACAATCCTTCTATTTTGAAAAACTTTTAATTTATCTCGTTTCTCTTCAAATATTCTTCACAAAAGAAAAATTGCTTTTTTAGCTGAAATAGCAATGAGCTGCTTGTAGGACTCTTCTTCTAAATCACATAGCTTTGATCTTTCTTAAGATTGTTTCAATTATACATTAGCACGATCAGTCATTGTTGGTTCCGATGCCGCCGGGATCGGAACTATCTTGTTCCTATCTATTGAGAACCCATGAATTGTGACAATGTGACATTCGACACAAATTTTACATGCCCATAAAAAGTATCGTTCACAATGAAAAAGTGTTGATCTTGGTTTCATCTTGTTCATATTTAGTTTCTGGCGTCCTGACTTAATTTTTTCTGGATTTGATCCATTGCTAAATTGCCCATACGAGAAATGAGTAACCGAGATAGGTTTTTGTTTTCTTTGATATGTTGGAAAAGTGTAAGTGACATGTCTAAGTAAACAAGAAAAAGAACAACCATAGCACGATAGACTTTATTTCTTCACCAAAGACGTTTTATTGTATGACAGAACCTCATCAGGTCCAAAATTTTCGAATCCAAATCCAATCGAATTAGATGACCAGTTATACTTTGCCGAGCTCTCCACTATCATATGCTTGGAAAAGGTCGTTTCATTTTTCATTAAGACTTAGATCAATGTCTGTGTTTTAGAATAGCTTGTGAATCTTAAGAGATACGAGTATTATATACCTTCAAGTTTAACTGTTATCCTTATTGATCTTGGCTGAAGGATTAGTTAGAACTAAATTTGGAACCGACTAAAATCGATATGAGTCAATCTCCTTTATCTGAATTGTCAATCAGGGATTCTAACTTCTATAGTATGAAAAAGTCAATCAGTAGCATTTACCGATTTTTTTTCTCTGATGGATATAATCAGAATAAAACAATGAGTAAGAAAGAACACTGAATTATTAGTTTGCATTCAAGGCGAATCGAAACAAAGAATACTAGATTGATCTAGTTTGATCAATCATTTGAATTAATGATGTAAATAACTTTTGAAAATTTCACAATGTATGACAAATATGTATGTCTTGATTGATAATAAACATTTCAGAATATAGATAAAGATTATTTTCCTTTGTTAAACATTTACAAAAACAAAATAAATTAGCTCATCACCAAAGTATTAATAATTATTTCGTAGAGTTTTTGGATGACATTATTAAAAAGGAAAGAAAAATGAGAGATAAATCGTTTATTGATTTATTGATTTATTTATTTATTTATTTATGGTTGTAAAAGACCACCAGTACCAATGAGTGATTGAACTGGGTGTTGAATAGCGGCGAGAACTTGATGAATGATTCCTTCGAAATCGGGGATGAGAGCTTGTAAATGAGTTTGAACAAGATTAACGAGTGGTTGTAAGAACTAAAATATACATTCATAATATTTCCTATTGAATACTTCAATTTTCAATTATGTTCTTACTTCAACGCCAAGATGGATTTGTGAAATAGCTTGTTCAGCATCAGCGCCAGCACGAGCAAATTCAATACGTGCCCAATCAGGTTTTTGGATCCACTAGAAAAAAATATACTAATCATTAAAAGAAAAATTCTATTGAAACAGCTTACATCTTCAGCATGTTGAACAATTTGAGCAAAGACTGTTATTAAACGTTGATAGATTTGTTTAACTTGAGCAACAAATTGGTTCACAACCTTGTTAAAAAAGGAAATGAGATTTTTAGTTGTTTCTTTAATTAATTTTAATCTTCTTTTTTCTTACTTCACCAATATTAATGTTCATGAGATCTGATAATCCACGTTTGCCAAATCCACCAAAAAGGTCTGTAAAAAGACCAGAGAAAAGACCACTTATTTGTTGACCAAGCAAGCCAACTGCATCTGTATAAAAAGAAAATCATAAGAAAATATAATAAAATTATTTAGTTGACGAACTTTGATAGATTTGGTTAATCATAGGGTTAACCACATTATCATTAATGAAATCAACTGAAATGCCTTGTCCAGCACAGACACCAAAAAAGCAAAGAGCAGCGATTATTGCCAAGCACTTCATTTTATCGTCGTTAAGTTTCCGTTGATTCGAAGTAGTCAAGAGGAGTATATGAAAGCCGATTTATCAAACAACAATACCATATTGTTCCGAATATATAAGAAAACTTTTAGCATATTGAGAAAATCGACATCTGCTTACACCTACATTCCCTCTCCTACCTTACGCTTTCAAAATTTATCGTGAGACAATAAAACACGCGAATATTTTTCAAACAGCTGCAGATGATAAAAATAATATTGCTTGTTAATAGTGACGTTGAAACATCTCGAATGTACACATATACAGACACACATATCTATGAAACTACTCGATCAATAAAGGAAAAACGATAAGGAAATTTAATATTTTTGTTAAAGCTTTTTTTCAAGTATTTTAAAATTCGTTTAAAAAAAACTTTATCGTTTCAAATTTCAGAGTTGAAAATGAATCGTTATAAAGCAGCACTTTTTTTTATCATTTCGACTTGATTTTATGTAATATTCGATTTTATTTATTATTTATTCTTCTTTCTCATATTCTATTGGTGTCAATGTTCGATGAGAAAAAATAGCTTTTTCATGTCCATGACAATCAAAAAGTTGATTAATACTCCATTGTCGAGCTGTATTCCATGTTAATAATTTTGTTTTAATTATAATAAATGTCTGTTTTTGTTCGTATGATTCTGGTGATTGATTATGTTCTAGCTCATTTGATATTGATATAGGTGTTGATGTAGTTGACCATAATTCTATTGTTGTCATTGGTGGAAGAATAAATTTATTTGTAAATGTATATCGAAGAAATTGTTGAGAATCTGTTTGTCGTTCAATATACCATCCAGTTAGATCATAGGATTTTTTTTGACTAATATTATCAATTATAATAACATCACCTGATGGTGAACATCCATTAAACATAACAGGACCTTTTGAATGACGTCGAAAAACGGTTTTCGTATGAATCAAATCTTCATTATTATTATCAATATCCATCGTTTTGGTCATTTCATTATATAGGGTCGTTGAGTTATTGATTGTCTAGTGTTATAAACACGACTGATGTGTAAAATACAAACGAGTAGATATAAAGAACTAGTCAAGCGTTGCTGAACGTTTCGCTCATTGAATTTGATTGCCTCATCGTTATTGATTCAAAAAGAAAAGGAAAGAAACCGACGATGAAGATATATGATATAAGACGAACAAAGAAAGAATAGGCAAGAATAATAGTGCAGAGTAAAAAAAATTTTACAACACAAATGCATATAATTTTCCAAGGAAGCTGACAGGCGCGTATTTTTTTTCTTGTTCTTTTTCTCGCGCATGGTTCCGTACTTTTTTCTTCTCTTCTGATTTCATCACAGATCTTTTTTTTTTTGTCATGTATGTCATTCACTTGACAAGGAAAAAAGGGTTAGTTTATACGCTTAGTGAACCATTATGTTGACTAATTATAGTTTTAATTAAATTTTTTGCTTATTTCGTTTTCATCGATGATGATAGGATGAAGGACAAATATTGCAATAAAATTATTGAAAAATCCCGACCGATGAACGATATAAAGAATGAAAAAAACAAATCTTTGATTCTTCTTATGTCCAATCATAATATATTTTCTTATCCTTCAATTTCTTTTCAATTTATTATTTAATTACAATGTCAAGTGTGTATTTTCTTTCATTTCTCGAGCTATCGAAAAAACTTGAAGGTTTAGCTAACTAAAGACCATAAAGTTCCGGACTGGGTATGTTTAACAAGATCGAAACAATGAGAACTTGTATACAGTCTGCTTGCTGGCGTCGAGATTTTGTAGAATATCAATGAGTATACCATGCAGAATGTCACGGATTGCATGTTGGTTCCGTTAGTTTTTATAGCTGAAGTAGACATCTGGTATTATATATTGAACTATGAACAAAAGCAAGTGAAAGAGAAACAACCAACGAATGCATATTATTTTTTTTCTTTCGAAAGTGACCCATAATACATACAGCATACACTTATAGTGAAGAGAACCAATAGGTAATAATAACAACAATTTTTGAACGATGCTCAGTTGTTTTGTTCTCTAAATGAGTTTTTGAAAAAAAAAAAAAAAAAAAGAGAAAATGAACAATTAATACTTTTTTTTTTATACAAAGACACGAGAGCTTTTTTAATTTTATTTGCCATATAAGGAATCATTACGAATCTTTCATTAGATGTTGTTCGTTGCAACGGCCCTTTTCTCTCGTTCTTTAAAATGCACGTGGATTGAAGCAATCAAGATTAGTTTTACATTTCTATGTACAAATCAACATATGAAAACCGAAGGAGAAAGAAGTTCTTGAATGAAATGCGGAAGGAAAAGTTTAGACAATGTATAACAGTATTTTTTCTTGGATGTGATTTATTTCTGTACAAATATAGCAACAGCACAGTTTCGATAGGTTTTTTACCTTTGTTTATTGGTTAATTATTAATGAACTTGACTGATCTGTAAATACTAATTTTTTTTTTCATTTTCTCCTCATCATGAATTCCACTCATTATGTTAAAGTAAACTATGAATAACAAACAAATATAGCTGACAACCAAACCATCGTCTGCTATTTTGCCAACTGAACATATGAGTATTAGGACACGACAGCTACCTTATGCATGTATTGCTCAGAACTTTTTGTTGGATCTTGCTTGACAGCAGTATTGATCTAGAGAAGAACAAACACTGTAACAATACAATGTCAAAATTACAAGGAATACTGAATAAAGTCAACGCATTTACTGATGCTGATGAATGAATCGATTCTATTAGTGATATTAAAAAAAAAACAGAGAAAGTGCTTATGATGTCTTCGAATACAATTGGAGAAATAATCGTTCGCATGATACATGACATGACCCAGCTCAGTGTCATTAATATTTTTTGTGGGAATCAAGTTCGGTACGAGTCACGAGTCAAATACTGACTAAAAATAAAGGTGTCTTTACACATGATGCATCTATCTGCAAATCATATTAACAAGCGACAAATTGAATTTGTCATTTTCTACAAACACAAATAATGAAAGAAATTATATTAATTATGTATTTCGAACGAAAACATATCAGTTATTTTACTATGTACTATAACAACGCTTTCGAGGAGAATCCGGAAAACTTGAAACTGTTGACGAACTAGCTCATGAATATCACCAACAACTCCCAATTTGGTGTTATAACTATAAACCTTTCCTCTATTCGATGCTCAACAGATAACTATAGATGTAAGACACGCACATTTTACATCATTTACAGTTTTTCGTGCTCAATGCTTCTCACAGGTGGGTTTTGACTAAGTAATTAAGATATAAAGTGGAGTTTCAGTTAATTTCTTATTAACGAATAAGGATCGTGAAGTTTTACTCAATTTTATTCGTCAAACTATTGCAACGTTCGATCTCCTTGGCATTTTCATTCGTCACGAAAATGGATCTGTCCATCATGTCTACACCATTTGCCAATGTGGGTATGGACGATTGTTTCAAAGAAGAAGAAAGAAATCTTCTTCTTCATGCATTTCATCTTTCGTATTGGTCGAATCCAACCAATTGACAATGATTATCTTTGATGCATCAACAGAAAGAATGGAATCGGCTGAGTATGTTGTTGATTAAACTGAAGCTATTCAACATAGCTCAAGGCGTGTATGATATTCTGCTTGATCAAACAACAACTGATCCGAAAAAGTCATTTATTTGTTCTCAGCTCCAACAGATTAAGAAGAATATGAAGATGCTATTACAGGTCGCTTCCTACAACAACATTGGTTCAATGTATAGCAGCATGAGTCACTACTATTCGAACATATTTTCATCTTATCAAAAAAAAGTACTCTCTGTAAGCCATGTTGATTTTGTTAGTTCTTACAGCAAAATCGGCTGAGTTTATAGAAACATGAGTGATTACTTGAGAGCACTTTTGTATGACAATCATACTGTTGAAATTGGACAACATTCACTATTTGAAATTCATCCTCATCTTCTTGCTATTCAAAAGAATATTGAATTTGTCAAAAAGAAATCGTAATTGAACTTCGTTTTCATCCGAAGATACGAGTCTAATGAAGAAAAGAGTATTGTTTGTTTTTGTTTAAGCGATACACGCATCTATAGAGAAACTTTGTCATATTGATAGTACAATTAGATGATGCTAACGGGTAAGGTAACCAACATATATACTCGAACGATCAGCACGTATTGTGACTAAAAGATCTTCATGCTATAATTTGTCTTTCAATAAGTATGTGAATGTGGGTGCGAAGGAAAATACGCACAGTCACGCTGACATTCGTCTATGCAATGTTCAAAATCTAAATAATTATTCTATTATTAGAGAAGTAGAATAGTAGTTCACTGGTTCTATATGAAGTAAGCAACATTTCTTCGATCTGAGTAGTTCGTTTCACTGAAACATTAATATTTGGTAAAAGAAGAACAATTTGTTAAATGATGTCGCTCATTTTTTGTACTGAACCGGTTGGTCAGAAGAAATCAACAAATAGAAATAAGAGTAAACAATAAATAAACGTTCTGGAAGAAAAATTGAATTTGAAAGCCAAATTAAGCTCAAATGATATATCTTAATTTTTAAATTGACTTTCCATTTTCTCCTATATGCAATGGAATACATAAAAAAATTTTCTGATAGACTTTTATAAATTTTTCCAATAATTTCTAATTGTTTACTTACAGAATTTGAGACTAACTTTCATCTAATCCTACTGTCTGAAGTGTTTAAAAAGCTTAGACTTTAGCTCTACTAATCCTTCATATTTAAGAGCTTCTATAGTGCAGTTTTCCAATTGAATTAGTGTCTAAGTTCTATCTAAAACTTTCAATCTCAAATCTAAATTTCGAGTCAATACTCTAATATGAATACATACGATTAGTTTCACTAGTTCCTCAATGACAAGTCTTTCTTGAATATTATGAAGTGATTTTTTTATCATTCTATATATGCGTTATTCACCTATATAATGTAAAAATAATGAATTCTTATTTTTATATAATGATTAGACGTATAAAAATTGTATTTGAATAATTACAATAAATTTTTACTGTTTTAGACTTATTTATTCAAATCGATAAGAAAAATGTTAAGTACAAGAGCAATGTTTTGTGTACGACAATTTGCATCTACTTATCGCCATATTACACAGGTATAGTTCATTGAAGAAAAGATAACGAATTATTAAATAAGTCTATCGATAAACTTCATTCAGAAAAACAATAAAAAATTTGTCTAGTCAAATATAAAATTTGTATTCTTTCAATTGAAATATGACAAGAAGTCAAGATCTAATAAATCAAAATAAACATAAATTCAACTTTCTCCTGCATAATCATCAAATTCAATAGAAACAACACGATATTATTTTGAGATGCTCGTTTTCATATTTCCCGACTATAAGTAAAATCTTTTACCAGAAGAATAAAAAGTTTTTTTTTTTTCATACGAAAAATAATTAATAATCATTTAAAGACACTTTTCTTAAGGGTACCCCCCCCCCCTCTTTTTTGATCAAAAACTCGATTTTGAGTTGAGCATAAGGTATGAT